CGCCCCTAACCATCCGCATTTGTGACTCACCCTCAACTAACCACCCCTAACTGTCCCCAACCGCCCCTAACCGCCCCTTATCGCCCCTAACCATCCCCAACCGCCCCTAACCGTCCCTAGCCGCCCCCTATCCCCTCTAACTGCCCTTTGCGAAAGATTCATTTGATTTTGCTCATTCTATCGATGAAAGGAGGCTCTCTCTCTCTCTCTCTCTCTCTCTCTCTCTCTCTCTCTCTCTGCCATGCAGCACACACAAAACGGCAGCGGGTCCAACCACGGCGGGCGGATGATGGCCATGCAGTGGGATGCACACAGAAGGGCGGCGGGTACAACCATGACGGGCGGCAAATTTCCAAGGGGGGACTGCCTGAGGCGAGGCTGGCGTCTTCCAATTTCGAAAGTGGCCAATTTCGAAGTTGGGAGGCTATTTCCTGAAATCTTTTTCTCGTCGTTCGCGCCAGGGAAAACAATTCTGCCTAAGAAAAAAACAGCTCCGCCGGTCTGCATATTTCCTGGGAAGAGAGGGGGGAAGGTGGATATTACGTACGGTTACCCAGCAGAAGTGCTTACCCGCCCATACCCATCTGATTTTTTTTTTCACCACCCTATAACGGTTATACCCATGCTTTTTTTTTTCTTGGCCGCCCATACCTACGGTTTTTCCTTTTTCACCACCAGTACCTGCCCATGCCTGTCCGTGATCTCCACGCAGTGCAACCGTGCCTGCCCTGAAATCCACAAATAAAAATTATGCCTGCCCATACCGATGGCCCCCTCCGGAAGGGTACCTGTACCTGCCCATAACCTGCCGGTTACAATTGGGTACGGTCGGGTACGGGCAACGGTTACCCAGTTGCCACCTTTGGTACCTGCATACAAACAAGCGTGTGTGTCTGACCGGCAGCCTGGGCTGGGTCCACGTAGACTTTGACTTTCGGGTCTCAGGCAGTAGACCGAAGTCAACTGTCGGGCGCACAGGCCCTGAGCCGAATTTGGGGGTTTATTGCCCTTGATCCCTCACGGCCTTAGGCCGGGGTCGCGGCCTGTGCGTGCCCACCTCAGGGCATATGGAGCGGGTTATTGCACGAAGCACTACACAGTTCCAAGTAGCCTGGCACTACTGTGTGACGTGAAAACACCCGGTCCCATAACGACACCAATTCAGTAAATCATTACTGGCACATGCACCAATTTATTTCCGGAGACATGGTCCATGTCCTGTCCGGTTGGCCAGGTCTTGGGCAAGGGCCAATTTCTATTTCCGGAGGCCCAGGGCCCAGGCATTCTTTCACACCCTGGGCCGCGGTGGAGAAGTATGGCCCTTATGTTTCCTGTCCCTGCCTGGTACCCACACAGGACCGGACAAAGGCTTTCTCTCTCTCTTTTTTTTTCCCTCTGCCAAGCAAAGGAACTTTTCACTGCCGCCGTTTTGCAAAGACAGGTGAGTGGATGGAGGCCCCGTATTTGAAGTGCTGCCTCATTCGATCATGGGCCTCCTGCACCTCGTCTCTGTCCACAGCCACCGCCATCCATCCATAGGGCGGAGGGAGAAGCATGGCTAGGAGCAGGCACAACAGGGAGACAAGCAGCGAGGAGCAGTCTCTCTCTCTCTCTCTCTCTCTCTCTCTCTCTGGTGATGAATCAATGAACCTTGATGAACCATCTCTCTCTCTCACTCACTCTCTCTCTCTCCCCCTCTCACCCGCAGAACTCTGCCCCCATGGCAGCACTATAAATCTGCCACTTCTGGTCATCTGGACAGGAATCTGGCCACGTGCGGGTGATCCAGACATGGCTGGATATCTGTGGATGACTGGATCAGCCCAGCCACACCGGTCAGGTCCAAGCCATTGTCTGCTGCCGCCATGCTTCTGACTCACTCCATTGCAGTTCGTAGTGCTAGGGGTGAGACTAATTTGAAGATAAAGAAAAAGCTTGGACTGGCATTCCCACCTTTCGAAAATAGGTACTCTCAAAATAGAGCAACTACCCTTCTGATACTTGAAAGGACCTGGCCGCTAAAGTGATTCATCCCTGTGTGATACGATTTGGCCAATGTCTGGCCTTCAGAGATTCAAAAGCATGCATGCGAGCCTAATGCTGAGTGATATACACAGCATTTTTTCCAACCCTTGGGTGCAGAAAAATGCATCACAAAGACCCAAGCAATTCATCTTGACAAAAGAAATTGCACATTTGTGTGAAATGAAAATTGGGTGAATCACTGTGAATGCCTGACCTTCAGAGCCTGGAAAACAATTGGTGGCAAAGTAAACGTCAGTCTCTGCGGGCCCCCCTTGAGGAAATGCTGCTTCGCAGTGGTCAGGATCTGCAGACAAAAAGGCAGCCATGCGTCCCAAATCACAACCATTTCGAGATAGACACGGTTGGAGAAAAGGCATAGATTCCCTTATGTGCTGCCACAACATGTGACAATATCAACAGTGTCCCTTCTCGTTTCTCATTTCGAGAGCATCATCATTGAACGGTGGTAGCGAGACTGAGATGTAAACAATGATAAACATGCAGCAATGAGCTCCGTGCGGCTTGGGCCTCGAATAATCATAACGTGACTGCCAGCGTCCAGCAGCAGTCCCCATACTGCAACAGACAACAGCATCATTCAAACTTGACAAGTGTCCTCCTCCTGTCTACGGGTTGGCCACAGATGACCGGAGCCATCCGAAAGAACTCCTCCATCCTGGCGGTGCTCTCATCACCCCGGGACTGCAGGGCTTCACAGGACACTTTTGTTTTTTAAGGGTTGGGCACAGACGAATGCGTTATGATCTGCTGAACAGGTATACCTTGAACATCTCCTCAGGGTCTTGATTCACAAGCATATGGACCAGCCTCGCTACCAAATTCTGTTCTTCAGCAAAATCTTCTCGGTCAAGCTGCAATGAAAAACAAAACAAAGAATTAGAAACCATCAAATGGATACCTATAGGTCTCCAATTGTCTCAACCCTTCGGGAAGGGATGGCCCGAGAGGATGCCTGACAAACCGTTTTTCTCTTTTGGGGTTGGGGGTTGGGCGGGGGGGAGGAAGAGCAAGGAAAGCCCAAGAGAGAGTCAGAAAAGTGCAGAACAGCACACTTGTGGAGCACAGAGATAATATGAGTACCGTGAGGCAAGAATTAGCAGCCAGCACACTTGTGGCAACATCTCACCGATCAGATCACCAGAACGAAACCCACCCAATTTCAGCTTTCAACCATTTTTTGAGACATACTTTCACGCACAGTTTTCTTGGCACAAAAAAAATGACGCCATGTCCAAAAGAGGCACACAAATACTGCACCAATCAGACCCCAGTGACGGCCCAATGGCAGGTCAAATAGAAGCGAAGGCATCGATCTCATGCGGTGAAAAAATGGGGAAAAAAAAATCAAAGAACAATGTTTGTGTACAGGCCCCTCTGCCACCCTGCATGTTTTTGACAGGATCTGGGTTGTACAGCAACCTGATTGCAGCTCAATTCAGGTGCTTTTTTAAGCAGATTTGCACCTCTCGGAGATTGTTAGCAGAAAATTAACATGAACGATACTGAAGGTTGCTCTCCAAGTGGATGGGAAGGCCAAAAAGGTATTGTTCATGTTAATTTCCAGACCACCCCAACAATTCCCCCCCCTCTGATCGATTCCTTCCGAATCACAACCCCTTTCCCCCGGCTTAAGGGGTATAGTTCATTTTAATTTTCAGACCAACCCAACCAATGCCCCCTCCTCTTACCAATTTCTTCCAAATCACAACACCTTCCCCCGGGCCTAAGGGGTATCGTCCACCCCAACCAACCCCCCCCTTCCTCTGACAATTCCTTCCGAATCACAACCCCTTACCCCCCCGACTTCACCAACAATCACAGCGTTTGCCAACTAAACTAGCTTCAAGCTATATTCACAAGCCGAGCCTGCCTTGTTCAACCGTGAGAAAAACTGAAAATTTTCATATGGTTCCCAGTAGCAGCAGCCTGATCATGCACTCCTTGTCCAGCAGCACCAGCATGGACCTTGTATCCATACAGCTTTTTTTGACAACCCCAACCGAACTCTTGAAGGACGGCCCGGTAACCACCCATTTCGCATGGCTTCCATCAGAACACTCCTGAGGGTCAAGCATTAAATATCCAGCCCATGTGGCTGAACGCTACGCACAAGATGAACTGCTAGTAAACAGTGCATGAGCTCGAATCCTGATGGAATTAGGCAAACACAATGTGATAGGGGCTTGAACCTGCATTGTGCTTACCTTTACAAAAACGCCTGTAACTTCGTTTTTTTTTGTCCGTTTTTTCCTTTATTGTCTTAAAAAAAAGGAAAAGAGTGACGGCCTTGAGATATCATCAATGAACTGACCGGCCGCAGGTAATTCAGAATGATGTTATTCTGCTCATTTGTTGTCGGGATTCGAACTTGTGCAATCAGTCTCGCTTTCTTTTTCCACTTCACACACATGCAAACAGATGGTGGATCACACTGGCGCACAGCGCCTACTCAAAGCTCAAAGGTATGGAGATCGAGAACACAGTTCAGATACAAACTCGCTTCAACAGGCTATGGTGCATCAGCACCTGTACAACCCAACTCTCGTCACTCTGTCCAACACCACCCTTCGCACACACTAAACTCTGGATCACCCTGGATATCCCACATGCATACACACACTCTCGCACTCATACACTCGCCTATCAGCTATGGCGGCTATGGCCGCCGTCCCTCTATGGCTATGATTAACTATCTCCTTCAGCCCCCTTCGTCTTCGGGGGATCTGCAGACCACCTCGCACAAGTCGCTCAGGCAGCGCTTCCGCATGGCTTACGCAGGAATGAATGAATGGCTGGACGCTGCCTCTTGATTTATACTTCTGGAAGTCGCTGGTCTACCTCTTTCCACCGGGTCCATGGTGCACACAGTCCCACATTGTACTTGCGGACTGGACAAAGTGAGACTGGGACTGGGTACCGCTGACTCAACATGGGTGGACTCGACACTTGCCCACTTGCCTCTGGCCAAACGTAAGAATTCTCGAAAGGCCACTTCCGGACCTTCCGGATGTCCGTAGACTTGGTCTTTCAGAACTGTAGCAGCTACGACCTTGAGCTTTCAGGACTGTAGCAGCTACGACCTTGACCTTTCAGGAAGCCTACAGCTACAGCTTCTAGAACAGCTACGACCCCTACTCTATAGACCTACAGATCGAGCCCCTACAACTTCACATCCATACGACAGACAAAAACCCAACTATCAAGACACAGGTTAAGGGTTCGAACACTCAGGGGACAACAAGATACTGTACACAGGCAAAGTAAGGTCTAGGGACCGGCATCTGTTACTGCTAAGGTGAAAACCGTTTCACTTGGGTCTGTATTTAAATCTTAAAGTTTAAACAGTTCATGAGTGTACCAACTGAGGTAGGCCAGTCGGTGGTGACTGAGCCTACTGACATAGAAGAGCAAACCATAAAGAAAGATACACTGAATAGCCATGCAAGGAATGCGAGGGCGGAAAACTTCCGGAAGAGAACTGAGCCAATCTTGGGGAAGTGAATTTGCAAGTTCAATGCTGCTGCTGAAGCTTTGAAGTTTCTCTAGGAACTCTGCACAGTGCCACAATTGGTATTTGAACAACTGACCTCCTCAAATGGGGGAGCATCAGGACCATCGCGAATCAGCTCCTTCAGCAACTCAAACAATGCCTCCACCTGATCAGAGAAAAAGTTCAGATAACAAACAGTTAAGGCCACCAGGTACAAAACACAATCTGGACTTGTCTCCCATATTCCTCTGTCACTAAGCGACTTGGTTGGCAAAAAAAAAGAAGAAAGAAGTGATGTTATCACTGAATCATTCACGTTAGTTTCTAACTAAGAGTGATGTGCATCTTACAGAGGCCCTCTCAAGGCTTCACAGAAGTTCGGACACCGAAGAAAATGTTATTTTTGCTATCGCTTCCAGTCTCTTATTTCGCCACCCGTTCACATGAGCCGCCACCAGTTCACACGAGCCTAAGTTGCCAAAGCTGTCTTCCAGGGCTCGCAAGCCAGCAACTGCACCTTTTCAAAGTGGCCTGCTGCTTTCGTTACCAGCACATGCCCTAAGCCAAGTGCTCTTCCCGCATATGCCAGTAAGAGTGCTACTTAGGTTCATGTGAACTGGTGGCTTAAGGTGAACAGGACCACTCGTAAGTTCCCCATGCAGTACAAGAGAAAAAAAAAAAACAAAAAAAAAAAACACTAAACCCAACCAGCACCCTTGCAGAACATCTCCAGCAAAGTGATTTTGAGGAATCCCCACCACGAAGAAATTTTGTCCATTGCTGCTGGCGCTTCGCTGAACTGGTGGGCTTTCCGCGTGAGCGTGTGTCTGTCCCTTAATTGCGAGTGTCTGACCAATCTGCCACCATTGCCGAGATGGATGGTTGTGCACCATTTTCCCCTGCCAGAGCGAGCCCTGCATGGCTCCTTAACTCAAAAAAAAAAAAAAAAAAACTTTTACACGATTACTGTCACTTTGTAACTTCGGCCAAAATGCTCACTGCAAAGATCCAGCGCGGCCGTTGGATTTTCTTTGGTTACACGCACCTATGTATGTCTAGAGCCCACATAAAACCTTCAGCACCCAGACACCTATGTATGTCTAGAGCCACATAAAACCTTAAGCCCACATCGAACCTTTCCTTAAGCGCCCACACACCTATGTATGTCTAGAGCCCACATGAAACCTTTCCTTAAGCGCCCAAACACCTATGTATGACTAGAGCCCACATGAAACTTTAGCCCACATGAAACCTAAGCGCCCACACACCTATGTATGACTAGAGTCCACATAAGACTTTAGCCCACATGAAACCTTTCTCCCCAAGTCACATTTGGGTTATCTTGGAGGTCCAGGTTCAAATGAAAAGGACTTCCAAGTTCCAACCATTCAACCACCAGTGGATGGCACCAATGCCCAAGCAGAGGGGAGAAGAACGGTGCAGGTCCCACTGATGCCATGTTCATGCCAGGAAAGCACAAACCTGGGCACTACAACAGCCAGGTTCATTCACTCCAAAGCATGAACGTAGCACTTGTGGAGCCCGCCCCTCAGCATTCCCTGCTACAATTCTGAGATGTGCACTTGAACAAATGGGGGTCGGAGAAAACTGCAGCCTCAGCAACAGAGACACATTGGAGCCTCGGAGGCAAGGTCCTCATTGCAACAACGAGAAATGAGGCCACACTCACACTAGAACTTTGCTGGATGCATCTGATCGTAATTACATCCAGATATCAGTTGAAAAATTCTTAATGTGAGTATGCCCTGCAAGAAGGCCCTCAAGCCGATCTGTGAAAACGTGGCGGATTCGGATAAACCCTGCGCAAACTGCAACAGCATTTTCCCAGACAACACACGGATGCTTCGCTGTTCTTTTTTTTGTTTTAAACCACTAGTACCTTTGCCAAGTAGGAAATTAGCAGGCCTCGGATGGGCCTCCGACCTTGAGGAGGCCGAAACGAAACGACGGCGGCCGATGAGATTTATCAATGGCAGGCATTGTCAGGGCCCGGCTCCGAACTCTTCGGGAACAGTCCGTTTTCCCTAATTTCCCGACACTGGCGGACATACTAGTGCTTTAACACGAGGAAGCGGATGACTGGATGAGCGTCTGAGTGAGACCCCATCCGCATACAACGAGAACGCAGAGCTAAGATTCACTCCCTGTGCCCCTTGAATGTTATCTACACAAGCCTTCATTAAAGATCATTTACATAGTAGACACCTTCATGGGAGAGAGAATCTCTGCAGAATCTGTGGAGATCATAACAATTGAGCAGTTGCACACAGCGCAAAGTCTCCTGTTCGCCATAGTAATGTACAGGGGTGATGCCCATGTGATGGCTGCATTGCACACACCTATAACTTGTCGATTTTATCACCAGGTTAGCAGATCAAACCCTGTCCAGTTCCATAGTGTCAGGGGCATGTTTGCGGCAGAACCAGACCCAGACGCCTTCTGAACTCGGATCCAGATCCCATCCAGACTGCGCACTCCGAATTGGGTCTGGAATCTGGATACCATCCGGATGCCAGTATCTGACCTGGACCGGGGATCACCCAACGAAAACTCCATAGTTTTTCATTTTTACTTCGTTTCTCCAACTTTGTTATCGTTTATTTTCTCTCTTCAAACTTGCTACCAAGTCCGTAAAGACCATAATTGTTTTTCATTTTACTTTTTGTTGCTGATTATAAAACGATCCTCACCCAAAAGATTGTTCGTAATGGCACGCAGCACTTTTCTTTTTCTCCAGACTTGTTCGATTTTTGTTGAAAAATGAAAGTCGTGAATATAGACCGTCTTATAACTAAATGGAATCTGGACTGGCCATCAGAGGTGGCTGGCTAGTCCACATCCATGCCCCAATGTATGGATCATAACCATGGTTGGGGGTTATCGCGTTTTCCTCGAGGAAAAAGCAACCCGACAAAGTACAGAGACCTCACATGAAAGGCTACTCCGCAGGAAAATAGTAGAAACGGGGGATGCTGGGAAGCTTGAAGCCAGTCCACTCCACAAGATGAGAAAGTGTAAACACTAAAAAGCAAAAGCGGGGGTATATAAAGTGAAAACACTAAAAAGAAGGGGGGAATGTAAAGTGGAAACACTAAAATGCAAAAGGGGGGGAATACCTCAGGAGAACCTCGCAACCAAAACCAAAAAAAAAAAGTTTCAGCTGGAAGAACAAAAGAAAGAAAGAAAAAGAAAAAGGACAGAAAACTAACACAGATCCTTGGAGAAACTTGCAACCAAAAACAAAAAAAAAGGTTTCCGCTGGAAGAAATAAAAGAAAGAAAGAAAAAGAAAAAGGACAGAAAAGAAAACAGATCCTTAAGAAACAAAAAGAAACAAAGGAAATGCAAGCATGGTTGTCAATTCGTTTGCAAGCTCTGTCGTTCTTCTTTCTCTGCCTTCATCGTTTTCGACATCTACCATTATTTGCAGGGTTGCCGGCGTTCGGGACAGGCTGAACGCCCGCACCCAAACGCCCGAACGTTCGGCACCCCCTCCCGACGCATTCGGCCGTTCGGCCGAACACGGACCCCCCCTCCCAAAAAAAAGAACAAGAATTCCAAAAAATCTGAAAAAAAGATATGTTATACAGAAGAATAAACTAAACAACATTTGCCTCAACGTTACATCCAAATTCTTTACCAAATTTGAAATAAAAATCAAATACTAAAAATAAATAATAATAATGAAATTATTGAATGGGAGAGCACATTTTTGACACCGCCATCTTTGGTGATTTTTCATTTTTTTTCGGCTGTGACAAATGCCATGAAAATTTATATATGTGTATCTTACATAATAGAGAATACACACACAAAGTTTGAAAAAATAATCATTTTTTTCATGACCCCGAAATAAAGGAAAAACAAAAAGACAAAACAGAGAAAAAACAAATTAGTGAGTGGGCAAGCAAGTTTTGACACCACCATCTTTGCCGATTTTTGATTTTTTTTTGACTGAACAGAATGGCTTGAAAATTAAGAGGGAGATACCATACATCACAAAGAAGTTGAAAGAAGCCACAGAAAAATTTTCAGAAAAAAATAATGATACTTAGGTGCCAAAATATTTTTTTTGCAGGGTCCGAACCCCTTCAGGTTCCGGCCCCGTACAGGGACCCGAATGCCCGAACGTTCGGGGGTCAGCTTAGGGGCCTCCGTACGTTCGGCCTGGCAACCCTTATTATTTGAATATTTATTTCCAAAACAGATGAAACTAAAAACGGCCAAAAGAAGTTGAAACAACAGCAACAATAATGAAAGGGCGCACAAATGCCGCAAAGCAAATACACAACATTCTGTAGGATGGACGATACTGGATATCAAAGTTGACATCGAGCCACACAAGCTGCGACGAAGAAGCCACCACTACAATTCTCACCTTCTCTGCATCGTTGATGTAAGTGCTGTTCTTCATGATGCTCTGAATGATGACAACTGCCATGACCTTATTTGTCTCATAGTCGAGGTGCTCCATGATGTGAGAGTAATGCTTGAGCTTGAGGACCGTGACCACGTCATTGTACTTCTCCAACGGAGCGCTCAGCAATGCCACCAACTGCTTTGTCGCCTTGCTGTCCTTAATCCTCCCTTTCCCTTCGATAATCTTCCCGCAAGCACCCTGTTAAAAGGCATTGCTGTCATCAACAACAGCCCCTCTGATACTCTTTCTGAATCGCTCACGGCACTAAGTGGGGGGTTTTGTGATTTGCCATTGTACCAGTGCACCAGGCCTTCACAATCGCCACATTCGCAGGGGTGCTTCTGACTTTTCCATGCTTAACTTGAGAGCAGCGTTCATGAAACAACATTGAATTAGGGCATACTCACGAACAGCACTTTCCTAAATGTATCTGACAGATTCTGACTCCAATTACTGCCAGATATGGATGAACCTGGACAGAAAACATGTCCAGAGCTTGCTCAGCTTGGTAGGAAAAAAGTCCTCGTATGAGTATGCCCTTGTTCCTAGAAAATTAGTAGTACAAATACACAGAATACTATTCAGACTAACTCAGTGAGTGGCAAACACGACGCCATGGGTTCTACACCACAGCAATCCATCCATACACCATGGACCAGGCATCGCACTCATCAAATGGCCACGGATTGATGCACCATGCATCTGGACAGACTGGATGGTCAAGTGCATGCAAGCACACAGACAATGCATCGCACCCATCCTCTTGCCATGCATTGATGCACCATGCATCTGGACAGCCTAGACAGTCAAGTGCATGCAAGCACACACATTGTATAACAAACACACATTGCACTTGATCGTACTGTTGGCATCAATCTAAGGGCGTTGAACGTACGGACTCAACACAACGGACAGTTCGAAAAATGTGGGTCAAAAAATAAGTTCGGTCAGGAGAATAGAGCGAAAACATTTTAAGGAACGACACAGAGAAGATGAGCATGCCCCCTGCGCAAGTATAACATGCATAAATCGAGAAATTGTCCGAATTATTTTTTTTTT